GGAACTGATAGCAAATTGCCATGGAGGAACCGAGGTGAATCTAGTGACTGCACTAGGATTCTACAGCATGTTTGGTTCTTTAGAGTCACTATTGAATCTAGAACAGAAACATGAGATGGTCACAGCCATCAGTGTAGAAGTGTTCCCAGGAGTTCTGCAGACTGAGCAGAAATACATAGGAAAATGGAGGGAAGCAATCGAGACGGAAAGGAACATTAGACACAGTGAGACTTATTGTAGACCATCAGGAGCACGATATTTGGTGGGTTCAACATTGGCTCCAATGTGCAAGAGCAGATACCCTGTTCATTTCGTGGCTGTGGACGTAAAGAGTACGAGAACGATCGTGGATCAAGTCTTCTCAGTGCCGAAGTGTGTGAGACTGGCGAGAATTATCGAGAAGTCTTACGAGTTGCTATGTAAGATGTTCTCAGCAGTTCCAGAGAGAACCAAGGAAGAGTTGGAGTCAATACTAGGAAAGAAGTTCATGAGATATAAGAGCGGGAACTTCAGTGACTTTGAGAGACAGAAACAGAGAGGATCAACTGTCACAGATTACAATGCAGTAGACGAGAATGATGAAGTCCACCGAGTGATGATGGAAGTGGAACCATTACTGGAAGCTTCGGGAAAACGTAATTGGAGGAGCATCATGTTGACGCATGACGAGTTTCCTTGCCACTGCTTGCTGCAGACCTGGTGGTATCCCAAGCGTAGTAATCTGATGTTGATCTGGGACTCTGGAGAGCTGCTCTCCATGGGTTTACCAGATTCATCACAGCCCATGACAATAGTGATAGTGGGAGTTATGATGGCGATACGATGGCTGGAAGCTCATTTGAGAGAAAATAATAGACAGGAGGCACCGACGAGGGAACAGTTGCGGAAATTAGATTGTCTAAAAGATTTAGATCTTTTTGAGACAATGGGCAAAATTCTAAACATTCCGATGGAAGTGAAGAAGATATGGGCAAGGAAACGATTGATGCCATGGTTCAGAGCTAACATGACTGCATGATTGTACGAATATGCGAAAAAGCATATGTCGAAGCGCGGCAGGGTGTACAGTGAATATCAGCTGGACATTGGAGCAGGAGCTTTCAAGCGAGCTCTCGTGACTCATCGGAATGCAGTGACCACCGCTGTGAAAAGGATTTCCAGGACGAGTGAACGTAGTGGAAAGGAGAAGGCAGAGATGTTAAAGGAAGATTTGGAGAGAAACGTGACGTTGTGTCTCCACAACAGCTTCTGCAGGAACAGAGAATCTAACGTGGATCCCCTACCTTGTTGCAAACAGAGGGTAGAAGAGCAGAAGTGTTGGAGGACGGCTTCCAGCAGCGTCAGGATAGCTAACGACGTGTTGCAGGATACGGAAACTGAGAGTGCAGAGTCAGTATCACAGGAGGAAGAAATGGAACATTGACGAATGACCGAAAAACAAGATGCAAAAAGAGACGAAATTAGAAGAATTTAGAAGTTTTAGAACTTCTATACGACGAAAAAAGAAGAAAACAAAGGAGTGATGAAGAGAAAGTTAAAACTCAGAATTGTTTTATGTGTGTGAAAAAACTCAAGTGAGAAACCAAGCAACCAAGTTGTAATTGAAAACTGAAACATTTAGTTGAGTTTTGAAATTTTTGCATTTATAAATTTGCAATTTTGATTTTAGTTGAGTGGTTTTAGAGACACTGACTTACTATTTATTTAGAAAGGCTTGAGTGAAGGAGTATATTTAAATATTCCAGCCTACATGACTGTTTTTAATCAGCTAGGAGAACTGATCACTTTGTGGTGACATGGAAGGCTTGGGTAATCTCTCGAAGAGGGAGATTGTTTCATTCTTCTTTCTAACCACAGAGTTTCTTAGTTTTAATATTCAGGACAATAACAAGCAAGATTTCCGAAGGGAAGAAGCATAGTAGGATAATTTTAGCTTGTTGGTTGGCAGGATTGTCCTGCAAACCAACATCTTTTAAATCTAAGAGAAAAAGTTTTAATCGGGACATTGACATTGGAAGTCAGAAAATATGTTTTATCTTAGGTCATATCCTCAATGTGCAGATTAATGAAAAAATTTGAAGGCTATAGTGATGTGGTATGATACCATTTATATTCTGCAGTGAGTCGATGTGACGTGGATAAAAGTAATTTCGTGCATTTTGTAAATTCTGTTAGATGACACTGTATCTATTTTACGAACATTGCGTGATTCAATGAGGACATTGACCGGACTGTCCGGGGAGTATGTGACATTCGACCAGAATGGACAAAATGCAATCTCTGCAGTTTAAGAATTTTTAGCAGCGGACCTTCCGAGTTAGTGATTTTGAAGGATTAACGACGTTATTCGGATGATTAGTAGAACGGTGAAGGTCAAGATATTCTGGTATTTTGAAATTTTAAATTTTCGAAGTGATGACGTAACATTTCTGAGAAACGTCAGAAACGGCCATTTTTGGCAGAAAAGCTAAAAAGAAACGGAACAACATTAGTAGCGATTGCGAGAAGAACGGAAATTGTGATTGAAAAACGACAGCGAATCACGGAGTTAACAGAGAACGTTCCAAGTTGCAACTATTGTGTCGCTACATTAGTTGCAAGGCCGTTGCGAACAACGGTGAAGAGTGGAAGACAGCCTTCCGGGTTACGGAGAAGTCAAGTTTAACGTGCTTGATTCAGTGGATTCAAGAATCCGGAAGGGTTTCGGGACTGAAACTTTTATTACTTTATATGAACTTTTAGCTTCTTGTCATATCCTGAATTGAATTTAATTAACAACTGGATTCATTTTGATAAGGATGAGAAGCTAGGAGTTGGGGGAAAGGGTTGATCCATCTTCGATGGAGATGATGATTTTTATCTACTCAACAAAAACAATAATAATTCAATAAATAAAAGTAGCCTTGTTTTTAGGAGTGACCTCGTGGTCTGGGGATGCTGAGACCCAGCCATGAGCTCACTATTTCTGCATGTAATTAAGTTAATTTGAGTGTTTTGACCGAAGCCGAAAGCAGTAACGTTTTTTGTCGACCCGATGTTAGAAAAGACCACCGAAAGTACTGGCTTGGTAGAGACGGTGAAAAGCAGATAAAGCTCTGTTTAGACGTCAGCCAGTCGTCTTAGGACTTAGTTTTATTTTCCGTCGATATGTATCTTCCGGGCGAATGTTACATTGTTTGCAAATTCGTGACAATCTGACGATACCGTTCCTCCTCATATAACGTCAGATCAAACACATTGTATCATATGTAATTTAAAAAAAAAAACTAAATTACAAAAGGGGCCCTTCCGTTTAGTTACGGTAAGTGCACAAGCTGGATAGGGCCATACCAGCGATATAAAAATGGATATACATCAGCAATGAAGTCATAAATCAGCATTAAAAGCATCGTCGTTATGTTAATTTATCTTAGCCGTCCTTCCTCCACAAGAGCGCTTATGGAGTTGTCGATAAATTGAGCTTTGCGTAGCGATCTGCACCCCCTTATACAAAGTATAGAGCTCCTCAGGAGCGCGAAGCTTATTTTAGTTCTTATGTAGTTTATAGATGCAAACTTTCCAGTACTAGGAGCAAACTTTCCAACTACTAGCAATGCGGAGTTAACACGGAGTTAACAGAGAACGTTCCAAGTTGCAACTATTGTGTCGCTACATTAGTTGCAAGGCCTTTGCGAACAACGGTGAAGAGTGGAAGACAGCCTTCCGGGTTACGGAGAAGTCAAGTTTAACGTGCTTGATTCAGTGGATTCAAGAATCCGGAAGGGTTTCGGGACTGAAACTTTTATTACTTTATATGAACTTTTAGCTTCTTGTCATATCCTGAATTGAATTTAATTAACAACTGGATTCATTTTGATAAGGATGAGAAGCTAGGAGTTGGGGGAAAGGATTGATCCATCTTCGATGGAGATGATGATTTTTATCTACTGAACAAAAACAATAATAATTCAATAAATAAAAGTAGCCCTGTTTTTAGGAGTGACCTCGTGGTCTGGGGATGCTGAGACCCAGCCATGAGCTCACTATTTCTGCATGTAATTAAGTTAATTTGAGTGTTTTGACCGAAGCCGAAAGCAGTAACGTTTTTTGTCGACCCGATGTTAGAAAAGACCACCGAAAGTACTGGCTGGGTAGAGACGGTGAAAAGCATATAAAGCTCTGTTTAGACGTCAGCCAGTCGTCTTAGGACTTAGTTTTATTTTTCGTCGATATGTATCTTCCGGGCGAATGTTACAATGAGAAGCTAGGAGTTGGGGGAAAGGGTTCATCCATCTTCGATGGAGATGATGATTTTTATCTACTGAACAAAAACAATAATAATTCAATAAGTAGTAGTAGCCCTGATTTTAGGAGTGACCTCGTGGTCTGAGGATACTGAGACCCAGCCATGAGCTCACTATTTCTGCATGTAATCTAGTTAATTTGAGTGTTTTGACCGAAGCCGAAGGCAGTTACGTTTTTTGTCGACCCGATGTTAGAAAGACCACCGAAAGTACTGACTTGGTAGAGACGGTTAAAAGCATGTAAAGCTCTGTTTAGACGTTGGCCAGTCGTCTTAGGACTTAGTTTTATTTTCCGTCGATATGTATCTTCCGGGCGAATGTTACATTGTTTGCTAATTCGTGACAATCTGACGATACCGTTCCTCCTCATATAACGTCAGATCAAACACATTGTATCATATGTAATTTAAAAAAAAAAACTAAATTACAAAAGGGGCCCTTCCGTTTAGTTACGGTAAGTGCACAAGCTGGATAGGGCCATACCAGCGATATAAAAATGCATATACATCAGCAATGAAGTCATAAATCAGCATTAAAAGCATCGTCGTTATGTTAATTTATCTTAGCCGTCTTTCCTCCACAATAGCGCTTATGGAGTTGTCGATAAATTGAGCTTTGCGTAGCGATCTGCACCCCCTTATACAAAGTATAGAGCTCCTCAGGAGCGCGAAGCTTATTTTAGTTCTTATGTAGTTTATTAGCCTAATTTATTAGCCTAATTGTTGTGATAAACTTATTAAATAGATTTGTTATGTTTGATGTTTGTGCCTGTATGTGGAGCGCCCTCTGAGGGATTTTAGAGACAGGTCTGTCAAGTGGCTTTCTGTGGGGAGGTGGGGAACTGGAACTGGCTTGAGAAGTCTGGTGGTGCGCCGCTGAGCCTGCTGAGCTCGGGTGAGATTGTTCCTTGTTTTTGATTTTTAACCTTTATGCTGCCTTTTAACCTTTTAAATTAATTAAGTTGTCTTTTTTTTTTTTTTTTTTTTTTTTTTATTTGCTGATTTGTAAAATTCCCACAAACCGCTTATCATGGGTTAGTTCAGTCCCCTAAAGTCCAGTCAAAATCCTTTTTTTTACCTTTATGCTGCGTCAAGATGAGGAAAAACAACAAAGAGTGTACAAGCAAAGATTGCTTAAAACCTTCAGGACTGATAAATTGGATTAAATGTGATTGTTGTTCTAGTTGGTATCATATCAGTTGTGTAAATATTTCTCTTAGCGACTCTAAGAAAACCCAATGGTTTCAGTGTCCTTTATGCGTTGATGTAAAATCTGTTAATAAAGCAACAATAGGTAATGATTTAGTGCTAGACAATTATGTTAATACAACCATCTCAAATGTCCGAGTACTCAAGAGAGTACCAAAAGACTCGCGTGTTCCCTTGGCGGAAAATCTGTCGGACAAAATAAATGACATCGTCTACAATGTAGAAGATGTTACAAAATGGCTAATTTTTTTAACGTCGTTCTTGTTTTTTTTGGAGCAACCGAAAAGAAGTGGACGCAAACAGACCACAAGCATGAGCTCTTTGATAAATAAAAAAATTCGAGCAAATGACGTGTCACTTCCAAAACCCCATCCCCAAGTTTCAAGCCCGCCTCTGAGTGACCTCGAGCAGAGAATAAAGTTAATAAGTAGTAAGCTCGATGAAGGAAATGTAAAGGGAGGAATAAGGCTTGCTGCTTCGGATGACAAAATAGCTCCTTTTTCAACTGATAACTATCAAAAATTGTTATCTAAGCACCCGCAGCGAGCCAAATTTGCAGCTCCAAATCCAGAAAAGTTGGATAGTTTTTTCGTAACCGATTTCGACCTATACAAAGCGATAATGTCCTTTCCAAACGGATCAGCAGCAGGTCCTGATAAAATATTTCCTCAAATTTTTAAAGATCTTGTTAGTAAGTCGAATGGCAGTGCAGGACTTAATTTTCTGAAATCGCTTACTAAGCTGATAAACCTCATTGGAGATGGCAAAATACCGGAACCACTAAGACCTTTCTTTTTTGGCGCAAAGCTTATCGCCCTCATAAAAATAGACGGAGGGTTGAGACCGATTGCCATAGGCAACACGCTGAGACGTATCGCGTCTAAATGCGCTGGAAGCAAGGCCCTCTCCGAGCGACAAAATTTTTTCGGAAACGTACAGGTAGGATGCGGTACCAAACGAGGAGCAGAAATAGCTGCGCACTCGTTTCGAAACCTAATTGAACGCGACGACAATCCAAAATGTACTGTTCTTTTAAAACTAGATTTTAAGAATGCCTTCAACTCTTTAAACAGAGAAACAATGCTGAATCATGTTTTTTCAAATCGCCCCGAATTATATAATTACACCCATTGCGCGTATGCTAAACCTAGTTACCTTTTTTACGGAAGCTCTGTCATAATGTCAGAAGACGGAACTCAGCAAGGTGATCCTGAAGCCCCACCCCTTTTTGCGGAAACAATTCATACACTAGTCAAACAGTTGGAGTCGAAAATTAACATCTGATATTTAGATGATGGGAATTTAGCCGACGACTATAAGGTAGTACTCCGGGACCTTAAAAACATTCTGAAATCGGAACAAATTTACGGCCTGAGCTTAAACACTGAGAAGTGTGAACTTTGTTTTTTGGGACCGGTTACTAGTACACAGTATAATTCAATTTCAACACAATTTCGAAAAATATGCCCCAAAATAAAAATAAAAACAAAAGAAGAACTCCTCATTTTAGGATCTCCAATCGGCGAACTTTGCCGAAAAGAATTACTCGACGAAAAAATTAGGGAGCTTGAAAAAATCTCGGATGTCATTGACAAACTAGACGCCCATTATGGTTTTTACCTCCTGAAAAATTGCTTTAGCATGCCAAAACTCCTATATTTTTTGCGTACGAGCCCTTGTTTTTTGCAAAATGATTTTTTGGAACGCTACGATAAATTACTAAGAAATTCGTTATGCAAGGTCACTAACGTGAAAATGTATGATAACCAGTTTTTACAAGCAGTTCTCCCGGCAGCCAAAGGTGGCTTGGGCGTTTCTTCCGCTCGTCTACTCGCTTTACCCGCTTTCTTAGCCTCAGCAGTAGGAGCGAAAGATGCCTTGAGCGAAATCTTTGGTTTGGAGCATGTGGATGGAACCTATGATGATGCGCTTAAACGGTGGTTTGACCTTGGAAAAATTGAAATGGCTCCGGAAATTGAAATCCAAAAAAATTGGACGGAGCCAATTTTTGACAGCGAAACTGCAGACTTGATTTTACGACTCGAACCAACGGACGTGAAAAGGTTCAACGCGTTCCAAGATAGATTTGGATCCCAATGGTTGAACGTCATCCCCTGCAAAAATTTAAGGTTAAAACTGTCGAACCAACAACTCAGAATTGCGATAGGACTTTGATTAGGATCAAAAATATGCGAACGGCATAAATGCGTGTGCGGAAAAGACGTTACCGAGGATGGTTGGCATGGTCTTTCTTGCCTCAAAAGTGCAGGGAGATTCTCTAGGCATTCAAACCTGAATGCCCTTATAAAGCAGAGTCTATCATCTACTCACATTCCGTCTGTTTTAGAACCACGACACCTCTACAGGACCGATCAGAAGCGACCAGACGGTTTGACGCTCGTTCCATGGGCTGATGGTAAGCAGCTCTTGTGGGATGTAACGGTAGTAGACTCCTTAGCCCCTTGTAGGATTAATGCCGGGTCTGTTTGTAACCCTGGTACGGCTGCCGCTGAAGCGGAAGAGCGAAAAATTGACAAATATAAAGATCTTGTAAATGATGGATATCTTTTTCAACCGCTAGCTTTTGAAATTCAGGGCGCGGCCGGCCCCAGCACAGAAGTTTTTTTGAGCAAGATTTGTAAGAACCTAAGCATATGCACTGAGGAACCCAGAGCAGGCAGCTTTTTAAAACAGAGAATCTCCCTGGCAATACAGATTGCGAACGCCGCTTGCGTACTCGGAACAATAAATGACAAAATAATTTTCGACGAAATTTTTTACTTGTAACACTTGTATATTATATTATCTCGTGTCGAGTTGCGTGTTCTTATTGAAGAAGCGTAACCCGTATCGATTTTAAATGAAAAGGACTTAAACACTTGACATCTTCTTTTATCATTATCACTTCCATATCTAGAAAATTCCAAGGATTTTGACTGGAATACATGATGAAGGGACTCATGACTGTAACCTCGGTTACTATGATACTTTTGTTTATAGATGCAAACTTTCCAGTACTAGGAGCAAACTTTCCAACTACTAGCAATGCTGGAAAGTTTGCTCCTAGTAATGTTTTGTATCATATGTTTTGTATCATTTTGTATCATATGTAACAACCACCTACCCTATAGCTCAATGTTCGATTATCTCCATCAGTTTTTAATAACTTTGTTACTCAATCATGGGTGTTTGAAGGCTCATCATGCTATGGTCTAACTCTCCTTTGATTGCTGGACTTGTATCCTTGGGAAGTCTTTGACAAGGTTTCTGTCGACTCGTGCTTTGACGGTTGCGTAAAATTCTAATACAGGATTACCTCTGTATCTACTTGTATTTTTGCCTATTTGATTGCGAGTGAGCTCTGCTTTTGTCTTCTTTTCTCGAACATAACGATTGTCCGAGAGGCAGCAAAGGAAAAGAAATATTCGATCGCATGACTTGCCGACTTACTGCATTTTCTGTTTTCAAACTAGGGTATCTATCTGTTGACAATTCTGCGAGACTAGTGGAGACCTGCACGAAATATCTTTTCAGAACTTATATATGAGCATCTAAGCATCAATTAAACTGTCTTGAATGGCTGAAAAACTATGGAGGGTGTTAGTAATACGAGCAGTTGTGAGGACACTCCGATGCAAAATGAAGAATCCATAACTGTTACTGCTTCATCTGGACAAACTACTAGCAATGCTGGAAAGTTTGCTCCTAGTAATGTTTTAAACAGTCAGGGACTAACGTTCTACAGGTCGCCCAATTTACCACCAACTCATTTTATTTTGCTGAAAAGTCCCCTTGTTGGCGGCAATCTAACCGCTGAGAACTGTCTGATCGTCGATGTGTCCCAACTACAACAACAAAACCTAACGATAGTCCCCGCTATAACTCAACCAGTTGTTCCGCCTACAGAAGAGCAAGGTGAGGTGTAATTAAAGAAGTCGTCGAACAGAAGATTGTTTTTAACGTCATCATGACATCTTTTTAGATTCAAAAGAGAGAGTACAGAATTATATCAAAACATTGGGCCTTCCCGGGGGATCTTCCGGTCAGTCGGGTGAGTTTTGTTTATGCTTTTTCGGAGTTCTTATGTTGAAGGTTCTGCATATACAATGCAAAGTTTGATATTCCAATCTATCTAGAAACGAATTGATCTCAATAGGCATTGACAAGCAAACTTCGACTGAAAGTTTTCAGTTGGGTTTGTACTTTCAAGCGCCAAAGAGACCATGCATCCGTAACTTTTTCTTTGTTTAAATTTTTGTTAACGTCTGTAAAGAGTTGTTTGGTAGTCTATTTTTTCTTTAACTGCTTTAGCGGTTGAGCAAAATTTAAGGTTTAGTCAGCGCTATTGGGGGCTCTTTTTCCTTTTCCCCACCTGCGAATTTTTAAAATAATTTTTCGGTTCACATTGTCCGCTTATTACAAAAATTAGCATGCGGATTCATTAGGCTATGACAAACATTTGTTCTTTATATTCAACCTGGTAAAAACCCCTAGCTACACCGTTGAATTGATGATTATGTGAGGTTGATGAGAAAAAAGAGCATTATTGCTGACTACAGGTATTAAATCATCTAGATTTGGTTGAGCATATTTTGAGGTTTTATTTTTGATTTTTCTGAATCTGAACTATTTCAAACTTCGATGTCCAATTACAATTCAAATTATACTTTGTCTAAGATGCGGTTCAAGCTTACTCTATCTTGATCTGACCAGATAAAACTGCATATTGGGTTCTGAATTTAGCAATTGGCCAGGTTCTTGAACTAATAAGGCCATTTGAATGCAATGCGATTTAATTAATTTAATCAGCAAATATTACAATTTGCATTGTTCATGTCGCGTTGTTGGTGTTTGTTTCCCCGAAATTTACTTTGGCGGTTCTTAAACTGTGTATTTTGACTTAAACTTGAAATCAAAGTGATACTGAAGTTCGAAATATTAAATCCATATGTATTAGTTCAAGCTTAAATGGACGACCCTTGGAATTTTTTCCGCGATTCTTCGGATCATTATGGATTTCTGTCGGAAGAGACTCGTAGTGTTAGCAGAAGATTTGAGACAATTACGGCTGAACTGTTTAAGAGTAATGAAGACGAGATGGACAGCGGTTAGTTCGTTTGATGTCCATTCAATTAGAATTGAATTGATAAACATAGTATTGAATTCACCGGAGATGAAAAATTTTGTTTCCTCTAAAACTGAATTGAAATCATTTTCTGGAATCAATTTAATGTGGATTCGTTTTAGTTATATTCATTTGAAAAACTAATTCTATGGCACACTTTTTAAGTGTTCTGAACGAACTGTTTTTATCACTGATTTAGGTCTTACGGTTGCTTAAGCTCAAATTTGATTTTTTTTTGGTTTGTATGTTGGTTTCTAATTCATTCAATTTTCAATTAGCAATCGTTATCAAATCTTAATATAGACTTTTTTCGGGTTAACGACTTAATTAACAAAATCTGGCCATGGTCCGAGGACCTTCGGATGGCGAAAGTTCTCGGTTCGAATCTGGGCAGGACCTGTTTTTTTCAAACAGAAAAAAATTCCATTTAAAAAAACGTCGGTCTATTGTTTGTCTGTTTATGTTTTGTCGGCTTAGGCGCCGCATCGCTGATTTTGTCCTGTGCTTAATGCTATTTTCTTGTAATTGAAAGTGTTTTTCATTAAAACCTTCGATTTGTAAATTTACTTGCAAGCTTCATTTGGTCTCAATTATAGGTTTTATCGACTAATTGACCTTCTTTTGTTTCGTTTGAAGAGAAAAATAGATTTTATCCCCTTATATTCAAGGGTGGGGGAGGGGGGGCGTAAAAGTGTAGAACTCAAGATATTTTTTTGTCGGCTTAATTGCCGCTCGATAGATATTTTCGAAAAATTTTTTAACGCCTGCGATTGTGTTTCTGGACATGTTTTCCTCCAAAACATCATTCCAGAAATTTTTTTTGAAGTTTTCGTAGTTGCTGTTTTTTCGAACAACTAATGCTTTCCTTATTTTAGGTTGCATGCAATGCTATGGTTGTTTGGTATCGCGAGTGTCGCAAAATTTCAAAAAAACGTGGACGACCTTGAGTTTTAAAGTTGAACTTCAGTTTTCTGCCTTTTCAACGGAATAAAAACATTGCCTACTAACCCGTTTATCTCTTGGATTAGTTTTGTGAAAAAAGTGTCAATCATAAATAGTGCTTGAGCTAGAGCTTTAACGACATTTATTTTCGATGTTTTTATGGGTTTCCTTTAGATATGTCGTATAAGTTTGAAGGAAACCTTAAACCTCTCAGGTGTATCGCAGAAAGAACTGTATAAGTAGAGACTAACCAGAGTATAAGGAAGTTAAGACCTTGTTGGGAAGAATTTGAACTCGGGTGTCACTTGATTATTTTTACGCTAAATTAAGAACCGTCAATAAGTGTTAGATGAGGTCGTGCAGGGTATCAAATTGAAGCCTTATCAATGGTGATTAGAACTGCTGAAAATTTGAAAACGATTGCCCATTGTCGATAAAAACCCACTGGAAAACTGAGCGGTCAATCGCAAATCGTTCTTAAAAGAGTGTTTTTTTTTTGAAGTAGTCAGTATTTTCCAAAGACGTAAGGAACTGTATCAAGATTTGATTTAGAATCTTCTTCAAAACTCTAGCGTATTGCTTTTTTTACTGAGGATTGTTCGGTTGGTTCAGAATTGCCTGTGCAAGCTGAGCTTGGTGTTTTGTTGTGAAGAAGCTTCGTTTTCTTGGTGCCATCAAATTAGGGAGCTTAGGCTCAATAATATATGCATTACACAGCGTATTGCTTTCGAGCTTAAAGGTGGAAATGTTGGCTTATTATTTTTGTCTGTCTTGAGCTTCTGTGAATCAATCGCTTATAGTCATGGGCCCTAAACCATAGAAAGTTGTAGTTTATTTCAAGACACAAGTCTGCTCTTTCCTTGAGTTCATTGACTCTCTTCCAACTGCCGGTTGGCTGTGTTTTCAGAAGCGGGCTTTATTTCACAGGAAATTCAGAAAATTTACCAACTGACATAATCTTTCTAAATGGGTTAATTTGAAGAAAAAGTACTAATTAAAATCTATTATTTCTTGAAATTCAAAGAGCCCAAGCGTGATATAAATAGTTTTTTGAAATCAGCTTAAAAAAATCTGTCATCGGAGTCTTAAAATTGTTCTGGCTTAAATTTGCGATAATCATAAAAAACGTGATCAATTTCTAGTTTCGAAGTGGATTTCAATTTGCAGATTTTCCAACGAGATTTTCCAACCTATTAATAATTTTTTTAAATTTTGTTCTTCTTATCGGGCGGCCTCCCAAGTTAAATCGGCTTCGTTACCGCTGGATAAATTTTGTCTCAATGCCAATTAATCGCTGGCAATTATGATTCTTGGCGTTTTTGCTTCTAATTGGACTGTACTTAAGAAATACATATCAGACACGTATAGACATATTTTTCGTCATTGCGCTTGTGCTTAGCAAGCGCTATCAAACTGGAATTTTGAATTTTTTCCGGCCTAACAACTTGTTTAACAGAATCATTTGAATCACTTGTATCTTGGTTCATAATGAATTCAAACTTTTTTGCGTTCGCAGCCACTTTAGCCTGGAGGAAACTATTATGCCTTGGACTGCAAATGTCCTGGGTTGGAATCTGAGTAGGACCTGTTTTTTTTCCAACGGGAAATTTTCTGTTTCAAATCAAATTGTCGGCCAATTATTTGTCTACTTATTTGTTGTCGGCTTAGTTGTAATACATGGAATCGTTTTTTTTTGCTGCGCGCATTTTTCTTTAATGTTGCTTTTAGTGTTTGATTTACTCCTACAATATGTAATTTTACATACCTTGAGTATGTATTTCCTTCTTTATTTTTGTTGTTTCGCTAAAAAAATCCTCGGCACAAATTAATTTGGCCAATTTTTCATTGGCCTAAAGAGCTAATTTTGGGTCGTTTTAATGGAAACACAATTTTAACTTACATCCGCACATTTCAAGTTGGTTGTATGCTTACCAATCAGTTTGTTGAAATTTATTATTTTTTGAAAACCGCCCGCTTCCCTGTGTGCTTGAATACTCCCCTAGAGTCTTTTTTTTACTTTCGCCTTCGAAAAAGTGTGGGGAAGTATTTGACCCATGTTTTTTTTCTTCTTCGTTTTCTTGATAACTACCTCTCTTAAATCTGAGTTTTTTTTTTATAAATAGTTAGAACTGTTTAGAAAGCTACCCTGCATAAGCGGCTACGCCCAATGTTTTCTACACAAAAAGTTATGGCCCTCGGAATAGTCCCCTTTTTGGTTTTTGACAGTTTTGTGATTCTTTTTGATTTTTCGCGAAAACTAATATTTTGGGTTCGAGAGAGTTAACGGTCACTGGGAAGCTCCCCTGTATTAGCGGCCTCTCACAATGTTTTTTACACGAAAAGTTATCGCCCTCGGAAAAGTCAAATATTTGATTTTTTGACCTGTTTCAAACTTTTTGAATCTTCTTGATAACTTCCCTGCCATATCTGAGATTTTGGGTTCAATTCTAAGACGGGGTTATGGGAAGCGCATTAGTTTATGCGGCCACGCCCCAATTTTTCTGACACCAAATTCTGACTCCGTTTTGTTGACCGATTTTCTGGGCTTTTCTCGTTTGCTATTCTGCCAAGTATGATATCATAGGTTTAATCGAAATAATAGGTTGTTGAAAGCGTACATTTATAATTGGCGAAGCCCAGATTGTTTAAGAAAAAAAGTTATGGCCTTCAAACACGTCAAAGTTTTGAAACTTAGAAAGTTTTCTAGAAACTTTTTGGCTTTACGCGAAAACTACCGTGCCATTTCGCAGGTTGTGTTTAATAGAGAAATTCGGTTTTGGGAATCTTTTCTGCCTAAGCGAGCACAACCTGCTTTTTTCGGAAACAAGTCATGGTTTTTGGAAAGTATTTTGATAGTTTTTTTTTAGAACTTTTGACCGTTTTTTAGATTTTTTTTTTCAATTTTCTGAATTTCCCAATCAAATCTGAGATGAAAAGTTCAATTTAAAAAACCGGTTGCAATAATTGTTCCTTCAGAAGCGGAG